GTTATTACCCCTAACCCTGGCTCCACACATGAAATAATCTATCTAAATATGCGAAAACACTTAGGAGAATTCAATTATAGACTACAGATGGGCTAAGAAACTATCCTGTTAATTAATTCCGCTCTAAAATCACAGCTCAGCTGTAGGGCTCACTGTCTGAAAGTAATGCTGTTGTGTTAAGAACTTCATTGTAATCGCAGTGGAACAAATCAGGATGAAATCTAAACATGTTTTATGAAGTAGTGTGTATTAATATCCTACTTCTCATCATTAACACTGAGTACACATGTGGTGTGTAGTCCACCTGCAGGGTAACCTCGAGTTAACCACGAACAAAATCTGCTCATCAGTTTAGAGATGCGGCGTAAATTGCCATGGCAACAGACCTCGGTTAACACCTATCCACCTTTCGTAGTACGGGTTAACCGGGAAGTTACACCCGACGTCACAAAGTTACTCCTGAAGTTACCCCGCTTCGTAGTACAGGCGTAGTACAGGACACCCAACAGTTCCCACCAAGAGCAAGCACTAGGCGACAGAGGCAAGGAAAAACTTCCTTTTAAGAGGCGGAAACCAAGCAGAAGAACCATGGCTCAGGGTGGAGGGCCATCTGCCTCCACCGGTTGGGGGTGAAGGAGAGAGCAGAGAGAAAGAGAAAGAGAAAGAGAAAGAGAGATGAAGGAGGGAGAGAGGGGAGGGAGGCAGCCTACACAATATACACACACAGAGGTACAGACAGTAAAGGTGATGTTGCTATAGACATAATGTCTCAAACTCTCTGGGTACTTATGCTTTGTACGCCAGTGACAACATAATAAAAACTGGTACTGTAGTGATTTTTGCCTTGCCCTGTCTCGTGTGTACCCGATAGACTGTATATAATAGGTGTACCCTAACGACAGCCTGTGCTGCGGTAGATGCCCCTGGGAGACGTCTCAGCGGGAAAAGCTGTCAACGGGAATTCGGTGGTTGCCATAGCGACCGTTTGGCAGAAACGGTAGTTTTTGGGACCGTTGGACGTCCGTTGACACCTTACATACTGGTGTATAAACGGTTCAGCAACAGTTGGTTCAGGCGGCTAACGGCTGTGGATCAGTTGCTACCATTCCCCCAGTTTCCAAGTGACGTTACTTGATTCCAATGCGCTCGAGACCGGAGACGCTAGTGTGCAGCTGTAGGTTCAGACAGGATTGTGACAATATATTAACGTTAGCTTGCTTCACACATGCCGTCAAGAGAAGGTAACATAGGCAGAAGGATAAACCAGTGTTGTGGTGCTGTTTGGGCCGGGGTCCACACAGTCCCCATGTGCTTAATAGAAACGTACTTGCTAACTAGCTAACGTCAATGATCACACTTCCGACCCGGTCACGTCATTTTGAGCAAGGTTAGGCAATCATGTCATAGGCCGGGGTAAGGAAATCACTTTTTAATGAGCTTTCAATCTAACGTTAACTTGGTCATCATTAACTTCTGAAAAGATGGCCTAACGTTAGCTACAGAGCGCCAAGACAGTTCCCCGGCTAACGTTTTGACTGTTAGCTAACGTTACGTATTCAGCCAAAGTTAGCTCTGATTAACACAGCAGCTGTTCGCATGGTCCTTGTTTCTGCAGAGGCCCGTTAATGAGCAAGAACACCGGGTAAGCTAGCCCCCGCCAACTCCATCAAAACAGCGTTTAGAAACGGGGCTACCACTCACCCTCGGTCACTTCCAGCACTTTGATCTGCTCCTCCGCGGCTGCGCGCACTTCTTGAGCAGGGGACAGGATGGCCGTCAGCGTCTCGATCAGAGCCTCTTTTAGTCCCTGCTGGACCGGGCCGGCGGCCGAACCGGACCGAGCACTACCCGCCGCACTCATGCCTGCTGTGTTTTCACCCGCAGCCCGCTACAGTCAGTCAGTCCACCACCACCCGGGGAGGAGCAGAGAGCCACGGCCACAGAGGCGAAGCGCGCCAATGCATGGAAACGTGGAGGCGGGGTTTTGCAGAAGGAAGCACATTTTGTCGTCCGGTTCGGTCCACATGGTGTTTTTTTTCGTGTGTGTGTCCGTTTTGGTTTTTAAAACCATGGCTCCCCCTTGTGGAGCGGGGGGCAATATGATTTCAATTGCTGCCTGAACTACTACGGGTTACCATGGAAGCAAATTAGTTTAAAAAATAACGTAAAATTGACTACTGAAAATTTCAACGAGACCACGTTGACTCAACCAGACTGTTTTCAAAGTAAAACATTTAAATGCCATAAGTGGACGTTTAAATTTCAGCAATGAGCATTCACCAGTGACTACATTTCAAAATAAGGTATCCACTTGCCTATAAAATTCTAATTTTTATAGCAATTCTTACAAAGTGGAGTGTATTGCCACCCAGAATATCAAACCCTTGAAAGCAGTAAGGATGGTTGCAGCTTTAAATACAATACACACTATACAGCCAGAAGTACACTTTTGAGTGTGTTCTCATGACTTGAGACAAAGCCTCTTTAGTAAAGGAAATCTAAAAGTTACCACACATTGTAGTATTTTGAACATAAGTAGGCTTGCAACTTCACTGTAACAGTTTGGGGCAGACCCTTTCTTGTTTCGACATGACAATGTCCCCGTGCACAAAGTGAACTAGATATAGAAAATGGTTTTCCAAGTTTGCTGTGGAAGCATTTGCCTACTCTTCACAGAGCCAACATCAACATCCATCACTTTCTGGATGAATTAGGAAGACGACTGCGAGCCAGGCCTTATCACCTAGTATCAGTGGCTGATCGGACTCCAAAGTCTTGTGAAAAGCCTTCCCAGAAGAGTGGAGGCTTTTACAGAAGCATATTAATGCCCATATAGCTTGATAATACATTGTTCAACAATCTCATATGGTTGCAGTGTATTTGATAGTTTAAATCAACAGAAAACATTGGAGAGTTTTCTACCCTGCGTGACTGAGTCCTGATTTATCCGTGGCTTTAGCTGGAAGTGTCCACAGTGGGTGGTGCAATGCTAGGAAAATTAACTAGCTGCAACAAGCCCCTTGTGAGCTGCAGCATACTCCAAAACTTTCCTGCATCACCTGTTAACAAGTGTAGTACAGACTGCGTAGTCTCACCTGAGCTCTAAGATGGGCTTCATCTTTCATTAGATTTCTAGCTTCTTTACATAGACGAGACTAACATTAAACTACTGAAGTGAAACAACAGTGCACACTGGTTGGAAGTGCCTTGTTACTGAAAGAGTTTCACCTCATAATCCTGTTGCTCCAACAAGGAAAACAGATTTCTGTGAACGTGAGACAAGCATGTGACACACTGTCTCCTCTTGAACCACCACGATTAAGACTTGTCTGGCTGGACGATCTTCTCTGTGTGCTGCAAATATATGTGTTTATTTTCTTTCATTTTGAATCTTTCACAGAGGAGTTTCAATCTTCTCAGGTGCAAAATGTCTTCATTCAGGAGCTTGTCAGTCAATCTTAAGACCATGGCGTAGTTTGTATGGCTTTTCAAAAACATGTTGGATCTCTAACATTAAACCTTGTTACTCCTTTTGGAGACCGTGTGCTATCAACAATTAGAGGGCATGACAGGCCTGGCTGCAATAAGACTTTTGTTTCCTAGATATTAATTGTAGATTCAACTGTACCTGAAAACGTACACCCTGACATCCATGTGCCTGTGTGTTTGTCAAGGGTTGTTTTTATTAAACATGCTAATTTTAAACCTCTAAATTAAGTCATTAAAATTAATATGGAAAACCATTAAATAGTGAAAACACTTGATGCCAAAACAAGAGGGATAAAGCCACATGGGGGTTTTTCCTTTGTGAGCTAAAATTAAACTCACTTATTGCTGCAGCATGTGTGGCATCGAGGAAAAGACATGTGAGGAGGTGTTGACATAAAAATAAAATGGTGAATGTAATCCCTTCTCTCATATTATCACGGCTGCAGATCTTTAGGATTAAGCAAGAGAAGTAAACCTAGGGATTAAGATCGCTCTGAAAAGAAGTCAAGTAATTATGTACTTGAATATTACAATAACAGGTTCCAGGAAAGCGTGCCAGTGTGCATCGTGTGTTGCATATAAAGCTGGTCTACAACCTCATGTATCCTCTTGCCCTTTGCAAAGCTAAAGAGACAGTGATGGCTGAAAATCTACTTTCTCTTTTACCCAGTTCTTTGATTACGTCCCCTCTTCTTGATCGGTGTCTTCAGTGTTGTATCATTTAAGCCTAAACAAATGAACAAATGAGTTTGGTGGAGACCGTATTTGTATCTTTGACAAAACTTTTAGGGAACAGGAGATCGTCAGAAATGGTGGAAAATGTCTCCCCAACTTCTTTTGTATGCTTGAATAAAATACAACCCGTGTTTTGTGAAGTGACTTGTACAGGATGTGAAAGGTTAAAAGGTAAAAACCATGATATTCCTCCAGACTGATGGGTGTCAGGCACACACATTAGTTTATACTCAGTTGCCAGTTTATTAGGTACACCTAGCTAAAGCGAATGCAGCCTAATACAACAGGACGACTACTTTCAAGATGGTCATAAAGTTCATGTTTTATGAACCTTTTACTTTTTCAGTCTTTTGTGGTGAACGGGCACGTTGTCTGCATGTGTGTTATCTGTGTATGCAACTTTGATTGTATGTATGTATGCAAGTAAAATGTTTGCTTGTATGAATTTATCAAAAGTTTTAGTCTACTTTTTCATGTAAGGCACTTTCTGGTTTTTATAAGTGCAACACAACAAAAGATTATCATTGTTAATTAATTTGTATCGTCTGTTACTGAGAGGGGTGTGTAATGTTTAGTCTACACAAACTAATATAAATGGGATGGTCAAAATATAGGGAACACCTCCGACAGAACATTATAACCTTCATGAAGATACGATTTATTGTCTCTGCACTTTAGGATAGGTGTGCCTAATAAACTGGCAACTGCGTGCATGTGACCTCAGGTGAGAGGGTCTAGTAGACTCAGCCTAGGAATGAACCAAACACTTGTACAACTGCTTCTTCTTGTTTAAGCAAAAAGAATTTGGTTTATGTAGAAACAAGCAATGTTTTGCAACTGGATATTTCCCTCTCCTTCAAAAGAGTTAAAGCTAAAAAAAAACAAAAAAAGTCCAGAAATGAATACCCATCCCGCTGCACTCAGAATCGCCACTTTCTGAAAATGTATGCAGATGTTTCTGACAGAAAGCAAAGGAAACCTGGGGGAGAGCTCACAATGGAGATAGATATAAGTGTACAGTACATATATAAAATATAAAATCTGAAATATATTTATATATATTAAATTGTGTTAGGGTTCAGTATCTTTCACTACACAGCATTAAGGTGGTGTCTTGATTATCTTTTTTTTTCTTCATTTTTTTTAAAAATCCTATTATATAAACCAGAGGAGAGTCAAAGCAAAACAAATGAATCAACAAACAAACAAATGTGGAGGAGGGGGGGATGAAAACTAAGCAACAGACAAAAGGCCTCCGCCCCGATCCGATGCCCCATCCCCACCCAGCCTCCAGCAGAGGGGTGAGCTAGCACGGACGAGGTGGGACAAACCTGTCCAGCTGTACAGCGCAGTGAAACATAACTTACATATTAGCTCATTTTTACACGTACAGTCGTGATCAAGGCACAGGGATCTTCTACAAGTTATTTTTTTTCTTCAATAAAGTTGTACAAAATAATACATTTTACAGTCTGTACAAGAATAATAGTCCAGCAGTAAAATAAAGACAGATGTATTTAAAGCAGGGAGGGGGAGGAAGTGGCACTGGGGGAGATGAAAGTATAAGACAAAAGGTGGAGGGGTGGTGGTGTGTGGAAAGGGAGAGGGTTACTGATGAGGGCTGTAGTGCGTGTGTGTGTGTTAGTGTATGTGTTTCCAGGTAAAAATGTTGCGTCCAGTCTTGATAAGTGATTTCTTTAACCTCATGCTCTGCGTTTGTGTTGTTTTGTTCTTATTATTTAATGCAACCTTTCTTTTCCATATGTTGAATAGTTGTCAAATAGCAGCAGGAAGGGGGAATATTTATGTGTGTGTGTGTGTGTGTGTGTGTTTGTTTGTGTAGTTAGGGGGGGTTTAAATGGTGCACAAAGGCAGATCACACAGTGTACACCAACACACAACATGGGGTAAAAATTAACAAAAACTTAAAAGTTGAATTGTGTTATTACAGGAATATATATATATATATATATATATATATATATATATATACACATATACACATATTTATATACACACATATATAATATCTATATATATAGCTTGGATTTTTTGCACTGCATGAAGTTCACTGGTATGCATGATTTTATGCATTGTATGGTAATTTTCTTGTTTTTTCCCCTCCTTTTTTTTGTTGTTTTCTGCCACTCATCCTTGATTGGTTTCTTGAAGAGCAAATCATGTGAGCCGTGTGGTCTTATGTTCGAGTCATGCTCACGTCCACAGGGAGCCGTTAGTCAATTAGTCCGTCTGTTTGGGCACAAAAAGGCTCACAGCCCTCCTCCGTCCGTATCGGATTGCCACTCTTCATATTCATCGTTCTCTTCTTCTTCTCTTCCTCCTTTGTCTTTAGCACGCAGTGAATAAACTCCTCTTTCTCAAAATGCATTATTTAATTCAGCCTCTGCCAACTGTTAAAAGCAGGAGGACTCAGTTTTAAAAAGTATCTGTGTGTGTGTGTGACACCGCGATATGAGACATTAAAACCTATCTAAGGGTTCAGGATGTCTTATGCTGTAGTGTGTGTACCTGCGAGTGTGTGTGTATGTATGTTTTTATTTCAGAGAGAGAAAGAGAGCTAAAAGGAGGGATAGGCTGTACTGACGGATTCCAGTCTTGACCCTCTTTCCTGGGTCAAAGTGTAGCTGAGTACAGCAGTCAGTCCTGGCTAATTCTTGATGAAACTGTTATTGGTGTATCCTTAATGTGTTTCCTTTAAAAAAAATAAACAAGTTGTTCCACTGTTCTGTTTTTCTTAAATCATGTTATTGGGAGAAGATTCAGGATGGAAGGGAGGGCAGGCGGACAGACGCTCGCTCTGTTGTTTGGTGAACTTGGTGGAAGTGGAGGGGGTGATAGGCTAACTGGTCGTGGGGGGTAGATAGGTAAGTTGGTAGGTAGATAAGTAGACTGGACGCCGCTGCCCATCACAACAGCTCATACTGCCGTAGGTGCATCCTCTGTATGATGTCGCGACAGTCATTGAAGACGCGGCGGATGTTTTCTGTGTCGACCGCACAGGTGAAGTGGGGGTAACAGTAATGCCGTCCGTCCCCGCTGGCTGTACTGATCCTCTGAAAAAAGACACAAAAGTACAGACAAGTTAGTGTTGGAGATCAGTGGTTCCCAAGCCACCCTTTTTTGGCCACGTCATAGATGCCATTAGTCAAGTTCCAAATGTGTTCATCTGTATCAATTTTAAACAGGATGTTATTTAACACTATAAATAATATAACAAAAGGATATTGTTACAATATTTTTTTCTCACAATTCAACTGTCAACGTTTTAGCTGGTTAAGTTTTCCTTTCCACACGGAGTGTCAGAAGCTGTTTATCCATTACTTTAAGTGAACTATTTTAACCATTTATCCATTATCTTTAGCTAACTATTTCAAACATTTACCCATTACTTTAACTGGACTATTTAACACATGTATCCATTCTTTTAAGCTAATTAATTCAACCATCATTACCTTTAGTTAGCTTAACTATGTGAACCATTTATCCATTACCTTTAGCTAACTGTTTCAACCATTTATCCATTACCTTTTGTTAATTATTTCAAATCATTTAGCTATTACCTTTAGTTAACTATTTCAATTGTTTATCCATACTTTTAAGCTATCCATTTTGAAATTTATCCATGACATTAAACTTTTTGACTATGAATCCATTATTTTTAGTTATCTATTTAAACTGTTTATCCATTTGTACCCACTCGGGTACACATATGTACCCCCTGGTTGGGAACTTCTAATACAGGACATGCTGAGACAACGCCTTACACTGAAATCTACTGAGAATATCTTGTAGGCAAATATCATCTGTACACAGTGGAATATGAAAGCAGCCATCTGCAAGATTTTGTTTTAATCTATGGTGCTAAGCTTTCACTGGTGTGGTTTGCATGGCATGTCCAAGAAAAACATTTGCCACTCGCAAAATTTGGATGAAACTGTGATGTCTTTTACTTTGGATGTTCTGTTAACTTCTGTTGCTGCTTCTGGACACCACTTTGTCTCTATCATGTCTTTAATAACAGCAAATGTAAAAAAGAAAAAAACAAAAGACACCCTGTGAAAATACTTCCAGTTCATGTATCAGTACAGAGTGACACAGTATTATCAAACAGTGATACAGATGGCAAAATGTGCATTTGTTTGCATGAAAATTGATTATTATTATAATTTTTGTTTTTATTATGTAAGATTCTGATTATTAATCTGTTGTGGAAGAAAAAATACTGATCACAAGATTAATATAGATTTCTGGTAAACAACATGCTTCATAGAAATGTTGATGACATCTTGATTTACTGTGCGCTGCTGCTATTTTTCATTCAACTCCAGTTTCAGTCTTTTGTGGTGAAACTTCCATCCATCCAACTCATCTTGACTCATGTTATAACAAAATTAAAGCAGTAAATTATTTTTCAAAGAGTCAGATAGAGGAGCGAAATCGAATGGAGTGAAAACACATACATACATGTAAATCAGGTAAAACAAGAGCTTTGTACATACGAGAAACTCATCCCGAATGAAGTACTTTGCCCTTGTGACGCGGGGATCCTCACCTGGCTCCGGTATTGCTGTTAGTAAAGAAGAAATCTAGTCACGATAAGTAATTTTTTCACATTAAACAGTCTGCAGCATCACTCCTCCTGCTGATCAGTGCTTGATGTACCATGCTTAGACTTTTGGGCGAATTGTACACACACACACACACACACACACAAAAAAAACCTTTCATATCACTATGGAACACGATTAATCACGGTGGTAACCTATGGTTCAATGGATATAATGGTTTATACTGGTTTTAGGCCCAAATAATATTAAATTCTTCTGTCCAGTAGTGGTAATCAGGGAAGAACAAACACTATAATCATTAAATCTCAATCCTTACCAGCAACTCAAAGTCATACCTTTCTATTTGTGTGGTTTAGTCTAACTACAAGGCAGGCTGCCAAAGACAGTTGACTTAAAGGACATTCTGGTTTGTAACAGACTGGGTGTTATTTTCATAGCTTTTGCCGTTGTGTTTATCAAAAGTGAGCGCACCCAGAACATCAGTAATAATTTCTCATTACAATGGAAAACTCTGTGCACAGCTACAGCAATTACGGTAGGTCAACGTTGAACTGAAGTTGTCTGTAAACTGTGATTTTTCAGCGGACAGTTTAGGTAATAAATTTACTATTTTCTCTGCCAAAATAAGTTTGCCTTCAAATAAGTTTGTACAAAACGTGGATTATGACTGCTCATGTTTTATTCTCCACATTCGGAGATCTCAGTAATAAAATTGGTGAGTACGCTATCAATGGTCTCAATGATATTAAGAAACAATGGTGACAAGCTGTAATAAACCAGAATTATCCTTTAAGGTGACCAAATGTACATTTTCCGTGTCGTGGTTAAGATAGAGCTAAATATTGTTTAATACTCGTAACATCCCTCATCATCTACACTAAACCATTGGAATTTTTGCAATGCATGTAGATGCAGCGGCTGATAGCTCCTTCAAACTTTATTGCTGAAATCACCAAATGATGTCTGATGGCTGTCGCCTGTAGCTTCTTCAAACTCTGCTACATTTTTGTTTTTCATTTGTTCTTTTCTTTCCTGCTTTATTGCTGAAACACGTATTACCTATGACAGAAATGCAGTCATTGGATATATAAGCTTGGATTTGAATTAAAGACGATCACCCAGTCAAATCAACCGGGCCATGTACCAAGGCGGGTGCTGTGACCAACCCAGAGGAGAGGAAGGAGAGCAGGGATCGGAGCCATGCTGGCCCAGCTTGGACTTAAGGCTGCTCCTGGTTAATGACCGGTCTGGACGAAAATGGGAAATCAGAGACTTTTGTGCCCACATCTACACAGACCTGATCCATCAACATCCCCGATCAACTACTTGACGGCCGGACCATGTTCTGAGCTGGCAGAGCGTGAGACTCCGGAAAGATGAGAGGAGGCGGACTCTGTGTTTACATCAATGATGCTTGATGCTCACACACAGTCAAAGTGGATGGACAATGTTTCCTAAATGTCAGAATTTATGTGAAGATAAAAACCAAATCATCATCACTATCTTGTTGCTGCTGTTTACATGCAAACGCAAATTCAAAAGATGCACTGCAGGATTATTTCCTAGGTATATACGTGTATGTATACTGTATGTATAAATAAGCATTTCCAGTTTTATTTTATTTGTTTTATCTGTTACCATATTCTAATATACATTTAATGATCTGCTAATTTATGTGTGTGTAGCATGAAGGGCCTACAAACTTTAATTTTGTCGTACTGATTTGTGTTGCAGAATGATAAATAAACTACCTTGAATGTATCTGTTACAACCACAGAAAAGTGGCTAAGGGTGTTCTGTCTTGGACACCCACAGATTTCTGTGTCAAGCTCTTACCATCATCAGGTGTAGTGTAGCGTGCAAACTCCGGGAAGTACTCCTCAATTTTAGATTTCCCTGCCAAAACCTTCTCAGCGAGCAGGTCCTGTTTGTTCAGGAAGAGGATTACTGAAATGGTTCGTAGCCACCTGTGGAGGGAAATGAAGAACGAGCTCAGTGCCAGATTTCGTTGGTTTAGGACCCAAAACAGGTTACAGGTCTGTTGATATAGAGTTCCCACTTTTCAAGTGGCATTATGTTTTAATGGGTTTTGGCAGAAGAACAAGGGAATAATTTACTCTCTGCAGTTCTGGGCTGAAAAGGTCTTAGAGCTGCTGCCATAAACAGTCCATTTGCTCCCACACAGAGAGAAGAGTCAAGGGAGGACTCTGCATCCAATCAGTGTCTCCTCCCACTGTAGATGCACCCTGAGCAGGAACCTTGTTTCTCAACCTTGTTTGGGTACAGTGCTTGTTTAAAGTGTCCCTCTTATTTTGTCTTTTAGTGAAGAACCTTTGGCAAATAGCACTGAAGTGATACTGTGGTACTAAGGTTGCATCTAAGCTAAACAGAAAGGTCTTAATCGGTGACCAAAGAAATAAACCTTTGAAGTCTAGTTGCTTCAGTCTCAAGACGACAAGAAATTAATATATTTTTTAATTGAATTAATTTTACTATGTTATATATAATGTATAGATTGAAAAAAAAGAATAGAGAAAAATATGGCATAAAAAAACAATATGGCCCAAAACACACTGCCACATGATGCCTCTAACACCAATAGGAAGTGCCACAGTGCCGCTCATCAACAGCACTACAACCAAAGTGTGGCACAGTACAAACTGTACTGACTGGACTTCAGAGCTTTTTGTATTTCTCAACCCCAACAGGGACTTTCTCTCTTCAACGATTAAAACATCTAGAAGACCACAAAAGAAGGCCACGTGTCACCTGACAACATAAGTCAAGGTACGGTAACCGGGATGTGCCAAGCAGGCAGTAAGGTCTGAAGGAAGAAAATAGTGTGTTTGACAGGCATTGCTGTCTTAGAATAAAGACAGAACGTCGCTGTATCATTTTTATAACCTGCTCAACTCTTTTGTTCTTCTGCAGCCACTGGGTTACAGGACACAGAGTGGGCAAGTGTAGACATTGGGATTGTATTGGTGTTTAGAAGAAATGGAAATCTAGGGTTGTTTCATCCTTTTAAGCTCCAGGGCAGCATTTGTTCGTGTATAGATGAGAGTGCATGTACTTTTTTTCTTTTATGCCAGGTGCATTTTCTGAATGCCTTTTATTTTTCCCTTTTTGTCTCTGAATTGCAATCAGTAACAAAGAAAATTAAAAAAGTGCTACTGGTTTCATGTTTGATGAAAAGTTGATGCTGACCTGTTGTTCCAAATGTTCTTGAAAAGATTGAGGGCTTCCTGTAGTCTGTTGGTCTGATTGTCTTCTCTGATCACCATGTTGTAGCTGCTACTCGCCACCACAAAGATGATAGCGGTCACATCTGTGTCACACACAACACCACCAGTGGATTAACACACCAAAGATGGATAAAACACTTTTGCATCCTTGCTCATGGTGGGATTTACGTAAACACATAGACGTGAATCTGGCACAGCTAGAAAACAAATGCCTGAACACAAATAAATCAACTGGAAAAATGATTGAGTCACAGCTGCTTCTGATGATTTGTCAGTAATCCATAAAATATCCAAAGTGTCATCACTACAATAAAGCAGTCTAGGCAACAAAGATCCTACCGTTAAAACACTGGATCCATTTTCGACGTTCATCCCTCTGACCGCCAACATCGAACATACTGTGGGGACAGAGGAAGTTAAAAGTTTAAACCCATTTCTGCCTTTCTTTTAACTACTTCTTTTTTGACTATTACTTCATCACCCGACACTGCGATAAATAAACGTTGTGGTAACTCACTGGAAATTGACTTTGTCTATTTGGAATCTTGTCTCGAAGATCCCAGATGTAAGTACTCTGCATCTCAACAGGTCCTGAAAAATAAACAAGGAACAGCAGGGTGTTAGATACTTAAAAGAAAACATATAGAAATGGAAATAAGGATACAGATGCAGAAGGTGTGGAAGAGAAGACAAACAGAAAAAGAGGAGGACTGTGGAGGAAATAAACTCGTGGACAACAAATACTAGACAGAGAGAAGATGGACAAAGGATAATCAAGATGTCAGGAGGGCAGGTTCTTGTGATTAACAGATAAAATAAAACTATTCAACTTATCAACAGTTCATCTATAAACAAAATATGCACTTTAAACTTCCTCTTTATTCAGGTCATATTTAATAATTAATGAAGAAATCTGCTTTATATTGAATTCTACTATGTGTTACAGAGCATTAAATATTTTAATTATTGACTAATCTTTCACTCACTGTAACTGTCTTATGAGTTATTAGTTTATTGTTTAATATATTAAATGCACAACATAATGTCACACTTTTGTCCGAACAAGAGTCTTAAACCCCAAGATATTTACAGAGAAAAGCAGAAAATTATCACAATTGAGAAGTTGGAGATATGTGTCTAAAATCACTCCATATTTACATAGTGCTTTATTTACCCTCCGCCTCCGAGTTTCTCAACTTTAAAGTGTAAAATTTATGGAAAACTCCCAACAATGGAACGAAAAAAAAGCAACAATCCGTGGCACTTTCTGCTTAAAATCCCACAATGCAACGTGTCACATTTTCTAGATGCAAAAATTGTAGCTGTGCAACTTTACATTTGTCAGTGTCTCACATCTCGATTTACTGCTCACTATAAAGTAAACTACTGAGTCTCTGTTATTTAGGAAGTAGTGAGGGAGTGAATGAGGAAGTAATTTCGGGAACACCCAAACAATACACCTTTTTTTACATCAGACATTTTGACTTGTCACAGCAGGGAATACAGGTATTACTTACATTAACGATGACTCTGTTATATTCAAGTTTCCTAGTAAGCCACAACAGAGAGCCGACACGCACGACACCAGGACCCTGAGACACCTGTGGTTCTACGTGCTGTGACATGTCAAAATGTGTGAAAAAGGCCTCCATTTGGCATTTTTTCTTGATAAATAAATTGATTGACTAATTGACTCAAACAATTGTTGGTGTTAAATTTTCTGTCCATCAAATAAACAACTGACGATTTGTTTAAGTGCTGCAGAGCACAGATGTGGGCAGGGTACTTCAATATAACACTTCATTTGTTTGTGTGTTGAGCACCTCACCTGGTCAGTGGGTGTGTAATCATTCTGCCTGACCACCTCAATCCTGTCTAAGAAGCTGCAAAAAGAACAGAACAATACAGCTGGTTAGATCTCAATAGCACAATAAAATCACATATACATACATAAAAAAGTCAAACACGTCAATGTCCATGTCCACTTGCCACTCTTGGCGACCATCAAAATAAATGCAACTCAGTTGTGAATGCAAAACACTGACCATTTTTAAGATCCTACCATACTGACTAGCCTATCATACAGTGGTAATGTACGGTGAGAACAGTATCTCTCTCTCTCTCTCTCTCACACACACACACACACATATATATACAAGTTCATCCCAGTTCATTAGTGGGAGCAAGAGAAAGATGGAGGACGTCAGTGCCTGAACGGCCTCCAGGGGGCGTGCGCTCTAATTCAAGGTGAGATCAGAGGCAGCCAGTCTGAGTCACCAGCAGCCGTTTGCTCCGTCAGACCAGAGAAGCCTCGTCAATGGAGGTGCTGTAGTATTACTTTCACATGAGGAAAGGTGTGTGTGCGAGTGTGTTTTTTGTACGGGTATGCAGCCTACACGGGTCCAGATTTGCAGAGTGCCTACCCCAAATGCATGTTAACTGTTCCGATGAACTGGCATACATTATACTGCTGCTTTTCAAGGTGTATGAGCTGCCCTGGTGTTTTCACAATGACTGCAACAGGTCAGGACTCAAAACAGGCCTACTGATACTTTTAAATTAGCATCTGTAAAGGAAACAAGACAACATTTCTCTCATGTATCATAGGCTGAAGGAAGTTTAAAAGTGTGTTGAGCAGAGAATAAAACAACATCCCCCCTCATGTACAGTGTGTGGGCTGCTGTCCCAGTATACATGTGAACAGAGAATGGCTATGAGGACTCCGACGTGTAGAGCTGCTGGATGATGTTACAGGACTTGATAAAAACACACAAAAAAGACGATAGTTTTAAACATCCCAGCTGTCCTGACAGTACTTTCAGATGCATAGATGAAATGTCATATAGGAAGAACAGGAACTCTGCTCTGACAGTGGAAAGAGGAGTGGGCTGAACTCAGTGCCGCTACACTGGGGAGGAATTTGGCGATTATCTTTAAGCTACGGCAGCAGCTATGTTAAGTGTCCCACTAGCCTGCATCCATCAGGCACAAGTACTGCAGGTTTTCCCACAACAATTCCTCCTAAGGGTGAAGCTACAACACGTCAGCAGTCTTAGATGTACAGCTACACCTTAGAGCATACTGGTAAAGAAGTAACTAACTTCATGTGTACAGCCAATAGCAGATGATAATCATTACAAACTTATATGGCATGCTTTGAATGGGATTTTTAAGGTTAATACCATTCAGTGTATTTAAATATTTAGAAACGTCCTATCACTAACTGACTCCTGTTAAACACACAAACATACATTTACAGAGAACGTGCCCCAAAATATAATTAAATTAAATTTCCACTGTGGTGAATTTTTTTCTTAGACCACACATTTGCAGAAGACAACATTAAACAAAATAACAATAACAATATAAAACAACAAGTTATACGTAAACTACCAGCCAGATTGAATTTTGAAGTACCATCTCAAGTCCGTTTGGGGGTAAACAGGAACATAAACTAAAGTGGAAAGTGGTGAGGTGGTACCTATTTAATGATTCAATACCCACTGCCCGATGAAACACAGCATCCATAAAAATCCTTTTGGGTGGCAACAACAAAGAAACAACACATTTTTGCCACACAACACTATTTATTCTTTCAGAATTGCGCCTAATCTTTGCTGTGTTTCCTCGTGAATTACTAAATAATTTAACATCTTCAAGCCAAATTACAAACAAGGACAAGTTAAAACCCTCTTTGCTTACAAGTACCAGTAACAATAAAGTTGTAATTAATAAATTGCTTTATCTTTCCTGCAATATATTATAGTGGAGGTATGCCTTAAATAAAAATATTACATTTACAATTTTATGTAATAAGAAATCAAGCTTCAAGGTGAAGTACTAATAGGCGCTAAAAGGACACCTATTTAAGTGATGTGTTTGTTTACGCGGTCAACCAGTAACTAAATTGATAACAAGACAAGGCACGTCAAGTCAGCAATTACTACCTCCACTAATTAATTTCCTGGGGTAACCCGGTAATGATTCACAAGCTAAAAGGTTGGTAACCTCTGTTTCAAAGTGATGGCTGGTTACCTGTCAAAGTGGCTGTTAACGTAGACTAACTCCTCACCCTGTTTGATTCCTGCACGGATGTCTGTTTTGGCTGAGCGTCTGGCCCACCGCTTTTACAACTAGAAATGCAAAACGCTTGCTACAAGCCGCCTCTTGGGGCGAAGGTATGAAACCCCCTCTGAGATCATCAGGAATGTAGCAGGCAGGGGTGAAATGTCACAGGAGGGCTGCAGGTAACACACTGAGAGGAACAGGGGGCTGGGTCTGCGGAAGCTACAGCACTGGACAGGCGGAGGGACAGACGGAGGGGGGGGGGGAAGACACAGTCAGGAAGAAGAGTCAGTCAGTGTGAGACTGAAAGAGAAACAGAACAGGACAAGCAGTTTGGGGAACAAAGAGACACCCTTGTGCATATCTCTGCACAGACACAGATATTCATATAAAACACACGGAGGCAATTAAGCAGCCAACCAGTCTGGTACCTTTGGCTCTCCGCAGGGGCCGAGTGGCTCAGCTGTTCCCACACCACAGCGCCTATGCTGTGCCAGCACACCCAGAGCCCTCAGTGGACAACTGTTCAGCCTAGCTGCCTGTTACCGCCCTGTATCCACAGCCCAGAGCCTGCGAGCATCTAACTTCATCCTCCCATAACATCCCCACAATGAGCTCCCAAAAGACATAAATAACCTAGATGTGACAGAATCTAAAATCTTCGGCTCTAATGATGACAGAGTTAACATGGCTGCCACCGACGTCTGCCAAGGCCAAACTCTTGTTTATCTACAGGTCTGGTCTGAGGCGTCGACACGCCCAGGACAAACACTCTGCTCAATTTTTAGCAGTTCTCCCTATTAATAGGAGAAGTGCCAATAATAACCTTGCCTAGTAAGTTGAACTAAATAATAGTGGCTGCCCCAGTAACAGAGAGGTCTGCGGAGTTATGTATAACCTGTCAGGGTTATTCTGGGCCAGCAGACAGGCTGACTTAAACTCTGGAAATACACACAGGACTTTTGTCTGGTGAATTAAAATAACCCAGTATTTACAAGAAAGATTTAGAGCACATTTTTTACTTTTTACTTTGCAGAATTGTGGCGGCTTTTAATGTAGGAAAAACAAAAATGAACACAATACAATATATGTAAGGTTTTTCTATTTGATTAAAATATTTGTTTTTTGTTTTATTGAGATTATATATATATATATATATATATATATATATATATATATATATATATATATACACATATACACACACACACACATATACATACATACATAAACAGCCCTTGATACTTAAAGAAAATTTATAACAATATAAAATAAAGTACAGAACAAAAACACTTGCTTAGAGAAAAAGTTGTTTAAGCTAAACATAACAAAAATTCAGACTTAAATTTCTAATAAAAAGGTACAAAAAAAAAAATCTTTATCTTCTTTTTTATTAAAATCAAATCTAAAGCTTCTTCCTAGAATAGACTACTCTGAAAATATTTCCAGGAATAGGTTTATATATCCCCTTCGCACACTCAAAATCAATATTAAAAAGAGGAATGAATTTCTGTACTGAAAAAAGTAGTCTACATCTCAGCAACAGCAGGAAAATATGAGGTTGTTTTTTTTTACCTGTGGCAAGAATTCCCCTACAATCAACAATCTGAAAAACTGATATCTTCACATGCTAGAAGGACATACGGGGCTACAGCATAAACAGCGACATGCTGGCCCAACGAAGCTGATAACACTCCCATAATGCATTCATCTTGTTAAAGTAGCAGTATTTGGACACAGGCTTACTCAGATTATGAGCTGGTATACATCTTCAGCTGTGAAGGATTAGGCTACTCTGAGCTGTTGACTCGTCTGGGCTGCACACACACAGCTGGACTGGCAAATTTGCTGAACTGGTAGCTTCTTTTACTTAAACAAAACCTTAAACACTTTATAAATTAGCTAACATGAGCAGGTTCAAGAGGAGTGTTTCAGGTTACTGACTGTTTCAAGTTGCTGCCCGTCTTTATGTCACAATTTAATATTCACTTCATCATGTGAACATATTAAAAGTATTTGGCAATGTGTCTCTTCTTAAAAACAGACTGCATCTTTCGTTAAAGAAATTAACTGTAATAGCAAACTCAACAACTTTTAGTTGTTTAGTAGTTTAGAAGTTATGTTTCTTGACAAGGTTTATGGTAACATCTGGGGACCTTTGTCATGTATCCATTTGACACAAACATACACATAAGAGCTGGCAGGCATGATTATGTCCATAAACAGTGCCTTTTTCCACATCTGCCAAAATCCATTTATGTCTCACATTAAAATCCTCTCAAACAAAAGCTTGTTCATTAGCAAATATTTTTGTCAAACTGACTGCAAATTGCATAAAAAGCTCAGTATTAAAAAAGTACAATTGTTCATGTTATCATTAATAAAACTCAGAATCAAGAGTGTTAAAAAAACAAACAGAAAATACAGAATTGGATATATGATTAGTCACTATTAAATTTAAATGGTTTACTATTAATGCAACAATTTTTTTTCATTTAATATCAATACTTGGTGTGGAGTTAAAATGTGGGCGTATAATACATTTATATAATTTAGCCCGTACATGTAAAAAACAACAACAACAACAAAAAATAAACAAAAAGCCCTAAAAGAGCAGCATTTATTAAATCTTTCTCAGCAAGAAGTTCACCATTCACCAATAAAGTATTCAAGCTAAATTGTACAATGTGGAAATTCAAAGCAAACTAAGAGCAAACGCTGAATTTGTAATGTCAGGAAAGTGAAATCAATCTCTGCACCAGATAAAACTGAAGCTTCACAAGCGTCCGTAAAAACAACAAGTCAGAAAATGGTCTTG